CTTCAAATAGAGTTTGTTCTTCCTAAGAGCCCCAGCTGAAAACTACTACAATATAAGTAACAGCGATACACTGGTGACTTGGTAGATCCAAAATACCATTTCTATGGCATTAAACTATTTCTGCTCAACTTCAAGAGCATTTTCAAAGCCATCCTAATTCCAAGGTGCTCTCACCAAGTTTGGTCAGTGCAAGTGTGCAGAGAAGGCATAACTTAGCCACTTTTTCCTCATTGCAAGCATTACCCTGGTTTAGATAAATCATACCACAATTGCTCTTTTCTTGTGAAGCATAGTAAAAAAATCTCTCCTTATCTCTGTATTCTTGAAAGAGATTCAAGTGCTTGGCCAACACTGTGCACAGCCATGGAGATAGAGCTCTCCAGTACCACTGAATGCAACTACCACCAATGAATCTGGGGGCACAGTCTGTTCACCTCCAGCTTTGTCTGCAAAGAAAAAGAGAGGCCTGAGCTGTCCAGTCTGTTAGACTAGATAGAGATGCTGGCAAGAAGGAGGAGTAACTCTCCACAGGCCTTCTAACCAAACCTTCTCAACAGTCCTCCAAAAAGCCACGGCCAAATTTTACCCACCTTTAAACCTCCAAGCCCACCGCCTAGCTTTAATGGATAAGCACATGAGGAGACTTGCCAGGGGAGAAATACTGGAAGAACAATCGATAAATACAATAGCTCAACTAGTTTGCAATACCATGCCTGGTCCAACTGACTACAAAAAGTCATTACAGCACCTTCTCCTTATATAAAGCAATTAACTTGGAATGCTGGTAGATGATTGTTTACAAATCCGGACATTGATTTTGGCTGTAGGTTTTGTTTATGCAAATGTTACTGAAAAATGCTAGGCTGTGCACAGAGTGCTGTGCAGCCACAAGATGCTGTCCCTCTTCTACAATCTCAACTCTTAATCTTAAGGAGCCCAAATAACTATTAACAGACTACATGCATTTCACGATATTAGTCTTACTTCTGTACTGCTAGAACAGGCTTATGGACATGGAGCAGAACAGAGCTGCCATCAGAGGGCTGACTGCTGGGCTAGGCTAGCTGCTTGCTCAGTGCTGTTTGGAACTACTTCACTCTCCTTTCAGGTCTGCAAAATCTATTGAAATTCTCACAGGAATGTTTCTTATTGCTCCGTGGCCCTGAAGGGACCCACAAGTGAAGGAAATATTTTCCATGTTTGGAGTTTGTTTTTCTGGTCTCACGATGTTATTGGATTATGAATAATAACAGGAAGAAACAAAAAAGTATATGTGATATTTCAAACTTTCAAAGTCAGGTGCTATTTGAATTTTCTTAGCAGATTTACACCAACCATGTTTATGAGTCAAATCTTGTTTGACTTACCAATGTAAGGTATTCCCTCTCGATATTAACTTTTCAATGAGTCCTCCCATCACCTCCACATTTCAGCTTACAACCATGCATTCAAACTGTTTGTGCTTAATACATCAAAACGCAGCCAAAATTGTATGTGATGCACAAACCAGCAGTTTATGAGAAAAGAGAGAACCTATCTGTGATCTCAACATGCTACCTTTGGAACAGCAATGCCTAAACAGAAAAGATTTCATCTTTACTTTGCTAAGCTGCATGGAAAGCTATTCAATACTGCTTTAAAATAATGGCTAAATTGCTAATTAAACTCACAAATGTCTATTGATTTGCTGGGAAGCTTATAATATACTTCATGATAGCCTACTCATAACAGTCTTCTGTTTTGTCTCTACTTAAGATCCATGCTGATATATATCTTACACTTTTTCCCTGTGCTGATATTTTGTTTAGACACTTCTGCTTCCATTATGTTTTTACCTCCTGTCCATGCTATACTTCTTCCTGATACTTACAAGACTGCTGAAAAGGAGAAGAAGCAAGCCGTGCCCCTGCTAATACAAAGAAGCTTTAGATAGCTGGAGATCAAGACCAACAAAATAAGCAGCTATGAGATAAATTTGCAGGGAACATTCACGTGTTCTGAACACTACCCACAAAAATTCCCAGCTATGTACATTAATATGAATTCTGCAGGATTTGTTTGATCACTTGAGCATCTGCTCCTTGCTCAGCTCTGAAAGACAAGAAAGCTCCACGTTCACCTCCACAGCAAACCAGAAGCTCTGAGAACAGAACCAGCTTCTAGTAAGTACAAAGTTAGGAAAAGCAAAGAGGAATAATGCTGCCTGCTCCTCCAGCCACATCTCAGCAGTGTCTGTCGGCAGACTCATTTTCCTGCAGGCAACTGAACACACACACAGATGAGTTTCAATAAGGAGAGAAATCCTGCCCGCTTTAAGGGTCTCAAGTTATCACCACATGATTTACAGTCAGAAAAAGGAAAGAAAAAGTGGTGCCACAGCTCAGCAGCAATGACTTTCAGCCTGCCCGGGTTTGATCACACCCTTGGGAGTAAAGCTGCAGCTCTGACAGCTCTGTCAGTGCTGCCACACACAGCGGGAGCACAGCCACAACAGGCAGCAGGTGACACGTCCAGGGGATGTGAGAGGAGAGGGAAAAGAGCCTCCGGTTTTGTGTTTGAAGTTGAGACTACATCTGTCTCCAAGAATTTGGATCATCTTGAAAGGAAAAGAACTTCTACTTTCAGGATTACTGTTATGAAGTCTAAGGGAGAGATGCACGAGTGGTATCTGACGATAAGAAAACCACTGGCTCCATTCCGTTTGACACAGAGGTTGTCCTATAACTCCTCAGGCCAAGGAACTTCAGGTTGATAGTGATGGGAATTACTTCCAGATCATCACTACATGGCAACACTTGAGGGTGCCGTTATTTTTCAGGAATTTAGCAGTTTTAGGACCCTGTGATTCTTCTAAAACTGTAGCTCTTTTTACAGCATTTATTGCAATCCTGACACGTTCCCCAGTCCCCAATTTGTTAGGTCACTTCCCTTAATACAGCCCTCTATTTTCCACATTTCTGGGGACATTCAAAATGCCAATCAAAGAGAAAAGCTGTGTGGAAAATGTCAGCTAGTTTTAAAATGAGATCCCCTTCCTTTGTGTGAATAGCACTTTCTGAAAGCCCTGTTCCACAAGAACACATACAACACTGAGTTACTGCTCCTGGCCAACAACTGCATCACAAAAACGGCTGGTGGTGAACGCAGAAATGGGATTTTCTGGGAAAATTGAATGAGGTAGATTTTCCTATGCAAAATAATAATAGTAAAAAAAAAAGAAGAAAACAAAAAAAAAGTATTCGACAAAACAAGAAAAGAAAAGCTGTTCTGTGGCTTCCATGTTAGGGATGGCAAAAGTGCAGAAAAACTGGGGGTTTTGCAACGAGAAATCCATGAAGAAAACCTGACATAAATTTGAAGCGCAGATGTTTAACTCTGTCACATGGTGCACATCACCAGCCCAGAGGTCTGAGCAGAAGGTGCAGACTGTTGAAGCAGGTACAACATTCAATGGACCGTCCCACCAGGCCACATTACACACATGGTAACAGAATTTTAGCTCTATTTTCATCTAATAAAAATAGAACCAAAAAAACCCCATCCATACAAAGAGCTTGAAGAAGGGAAATGAGGGCAGAAAGTTTGTAAGCTCGGAGCTGGGCCATACAGCATCTCCATGCTCTCACAGAGCTGCATTTAAGCACAAATCTTTACCACCTGAGCCATTTTTCTACACTTCCTTCCAGTGAAATCAGCCAATAAGCAATTTCCTGTGAAATCTCTCTCTATAAATTACCACAATGTAGGTCTGAACTCACACTACACATTTCTCATACCCACCACGCCTGGAGATTTCAGACACAAGGGTTGGAGACAGCACTGGGGTAAAAGAAATAGCTCCCACCTGTATCACAGAGGGAAGTCAGCATTCTCACTGCCTCCAGATTTCAAGGTTGCTTAAAACCCAGCACGACACTCATTTCAGAAAAAAATCAAAATGATTTGGTGCTTCAAAAGGCAACAATTTGCCTGGAAATAACTCATAACCATTGGTCTCTTCTTCTTTTCCACGTTACCATTCTTGCTAATCTGCCTTCCTATTATGTTCTTTCACATCCATAGCAATCTTCCCTTAAATATACAGTGTGCACTCCCAGGTGAGCATATTGTAGTCTCATAACTGCTTTTTAAAGCTGTAACTTCTTGAATTTTCATCACATGAAGATACTGTCATGTGTTTACATTAAGACACCATCCAGCTATGTAGTTTATGTGCCTTGCAAAGAATTTTTTCATTATTTTATCTGTTCCATATATTCTTCTTTGGTCCTTCCCTTCAACTACTCAGTTCTCTACTACCTGCAAAGTTTCTATCTTCCTGGAAACCGATAATTACATTAAGATAATAAATAGTTGTTTCACCAAAAAGTATCACAGAGACTGATTTACCATTAGGAATGAAGTAATATTTTTTTTCTCCTTAAAACCAAAAATCATCATTTTCTTACAATGTGGTTTCAAGTTTTTTTTTGTGTCATAGGAACCAAAAAACCGACAGTGCCACAGAGGCTTTTATTATTATTTTATAAGAAGTTATTTGGAATTCCAAACACCTTTTTAGTTTGTTAATGGCTGTCGGGTATGGGCTTTATTGATTTATAAAAGTCACAGCCATTTTTCTGTCTCTGATGTTTACAGCAGGAGCTGAGAAACAATGCTGGGTTTGCAAAACAATAGGAACTTAGAGCAGCTGAGGCAAAGATACTGTTCAGTGGAAGGGGACAAGGGAAAAGAAGGAAAATTGTTCCAGAGGAAAAACAACAGCATGGTTAGGGAACACAAAGATGTTTCAGTCAATATTTATCACTTCAATCAATAAAACTTGATGTTCACCTCAGTGAAATCAATATCTACTTAATTTAAGAATTGCTGCTCCTTAGCCCACTCTACCTCCCCCCGTTTCCATGATCTAATTTCACTGCTAAAGATTGCAAACTCGATCCTCTCCCATCACAGCACTTCCAGAGTTCTTGCCATGGCTGCAATTGCAAAGAACTCACCTCTGTGCTGTCTGACAGTCTGAGAGCTGTGTGACAACCTGCAGTGACACAGAACGAAGGCTGCTACATGGGTGTTCCTCTCCTCAGCATCATGAATGCTTTAGAAGCCATCTGTTTGTCATCTGGAGAGGAAATGAAAGCAAGAGTTTCAGCACTAAAGCAGTAAGCTCTTAAACATTAGCAGGGACCATCCAAAGCTGCATCATCCATAAATCTGAAACATTTTTCTGAGCCGTGAGGATGTCTGAGGAAGTTGCAGAAGTACACATTAATGTTCTTGCTAATGCCTGGCTTCTTATGTATAGGACAATTCTTATCAGACTATACGGAATCACAGAACCTACCAAGATGGAAGGGATCCTTCAGGATCACCAAGTCCAGAGAGGAACAATCCCATCCCTCACCCAGTGGCAGTGCTGGGCCAGGTGTATCCCAGGGTACAGCTGGCTCTTTTGGCTGCCAGGGCACTCTGCTGGCTCATGTTCAACTTGTCTCTGCCAGGGCCCCTGAAACCTTTCTCTCGTGGCTAATCTCCAGTCTCTCATCTCCCACATGCATACAGACAGTTTTGAACAAAACTTGAAATACTCAAAGTCACAAAATTTGTGAATTGGCATTTACTTCTCTTGCATCTTTTCTTATTGTATGTTGGCAGACTGTGAGCAGTAGTACCTGTACCCCTTTCGAATCGAGAAGATCCTGAGGCTTTTCCACACCTACTAAAGATGAAGTAAAACTCTAGAAAACACTTCTGACTGCTTTTTCATGGCAGGATTTCTGCTTTGTCCTATAGAAAGACTTAAGTTGAAGCCCTACATACGCTCTGTGCCAGCACAGAATTAACAAACATGTAGATTACTCTTTATACTGGAATTTGAGCATCAGACACCAAGGCTTGCCAACGTACTCTTTTTTCCTCCCTCTCACTGCTAAGCCCGGTGTTTTCCTAAACCCTCACACCAGAAAGCTCATTTCATCCTTTAACCTTCATCTCCCCTTCTTCTTTTGCACAAAAATTGCTAGAGACTATTTTCAGGTTTGCTAAACCAAAGAATGTTTTGGCTGCCAAACTGCATCAGGAGGAAAGAATGTGCTTTCATTTAGCCTTATCACAGAGCTGATAATAACATTATTATATATGCAAAGAACTCCATGCTTGTTTATCTGCAACAACAGAATGACACATGCAAATATACATATGAAAAGCCTGAGTATCTCAAGCTGCCAATAATTCAATCAAAAATATTATATACTCAAAACAGAATCACGATTATTTATTTATATCAAGCTTACTAACACCTCCCTGATAATTTTGTTTTTTTGGAGCAAGACCTACTAGATTCTTATTTCTGTTTTTTAGAAATAATTGGAGAAGGAAAAGTTCACTTTCTAAACACTTGGCAGCCTTGATAATGAGAAGCCTGCCTACAATAGGGCTATTTAGTATTTGTTGTGTTGCAAGCGTTCTACTCAAATAAATTTGAAATGTTATTCAAGCTCTGAAATACTTTATCACATTGACTACCAAAGTAAAAAGTTTTAACAACTGTAACTAATATTTAACAGCATTTATCTCCAAGTCACAGCCCAGTAGAATTATTTCCTAAAGGGTAGCTGAGAAATGCAGGTGTCCTATAACCAGAGGTTTCTTTTGTTTTGTTTTTGAAGTTCCTGACTTCATTCGTAGTCTTTTTTCCCCCTTTGATATTTACCAATACCCCTCATCTAACGAAGTTTTGCTGTGCATTACCAGCACTAAGCTCATACAGTAGTCTGGTAACATAAAATACTGTAGAGCAGATCAAGCCATTGCTCACTTAACAGAATAGATATTGTTGAGAGCACAATTGCACCTGAATTTCTCATGCAGGTAATCTCACTTCTCCATTTACATTCTCATTATTTCTTCTATTGCATACACTTGCACCAGCCATCCTGGGGACAGATTTGGATAAAACATACTCAGATAATTAGGAGAACCTTGGAACAGCAAGGCTACCCTGAAACAATCATCACAGAAAAGTACACCTGCAATCTCAAGTGACGTGGAAGAAAAAACTTACAACCCACGTTATCATCTTTACTGACCAAGATCCACTCAGACCCAGCCCAACCTTTCAGATGCCTAAAACAGTCCATTACAGGAGGGACTCCATACCTACTGAGACCAAACATAGGTGTCAAGGGCTGGATTTCAACCCCTACGTCTGCTGTGGCATCCAATTGGTGCTGGAATTTGTGACATGGGTGTCAAGGATAGCCACAATCCTCGGAGAACCCCAAATGACTCCAGACACCGTGCTTCGCCTTTGTGGCTTTCTCAAAGCATGGTCAACCTCACTACACTAAGGCATGACACTACCTGCATTGGCCAAGGAAGATTCTAGAGCTTCTGCCCAACCCAGGGGCACAGGGTAGGTGTCCCAGTGCTCCCAGCAGACAGAAGGCAGCACTTCAGCAATTTATCAAGGCTTATGGATGCAGATGAGCAGAAGGGAAGGCATTAAGAGTAGTGGTGATGTGCCTAGCCCCTGAGACAAAGCCCAGACCAGTGAACCAAAGTTGTATGCATAGTTATCAGTGAAGTTCTTTTCCTGGACAAGGGTAATGGCTGAGGTTCCTCTTCTGTCTGTCCAGGACTTGCTGGCACCTCCAGTCAGGCTGCATAAATCATTTCCCAGGTGTGCTACCTTTTTTTTTTTTTTTTTTTGCCATCTCCAAAGGGAGTCAAGAGAAGAACCTTGGCACTAGAGGCTTGACTTTTAGTTAGCTAATGTGATGTGAGCCAAATCTGGGACAGACTGTCAAAACGGCCAGCAATTCATTATTCATAGACTGAAGAAGGTGATGCCAGGGTTACAAAGCATGAAGTCTATACAGCATAGAACTGGACCACTTCCAGGACAGTATTTTTTTTTTTTTTTCCTCTGGCTCCCAGTGTTATTCCTCTGTCTTTCACCCATGTCCTTCTAGAATCACCATTTAATTGGGTGATTGGCAGGGCATGGCTCCTCAGGACAAGATAAGACGATGTATCAGTTCTGTTGCCAAAAACCATGCCCCCTCCCTTCCCTGCCTCCCTCCACCCACCTGATTGCTGCTGCTTCTGCTGGCTCTAGCTCATAGCAAAGCCCTGCCTCAATGCATGAACACAGTGGAAAAGAGCAATCAGGCAAGAAAAAAACAAAAAACAAACTATATTTTCTGCATTTTATTGAAGGGAAAGGTGAAGGGGTACAGCGGGAGATCCAGGTGAGTAAACAGGAAAAGGGGAAAACAAGGGAAGAAGAAAAAAAGAGCTACGTGGCAAAAAGGCAAGCACACAGCTCTCCCCTCCCAATGGGAACAAGCCTACAGTCAAGCTCCAGTGCCTTAGCTGTCACCAGCCCAATTTACCCAACTGATCTGGTCCTAATTAACAGCTTCACTGATCACTTCTTAGTTAATTGGTGTGGCATTGGAAGAAAACCACTAGCATCCATGTGCAGATTCTACAAGCCCAGAGAGCCCTGGCACCTGTTTGGATTACGATAATGCAGCCAGGGGATGCCCAGATGCTCACGGCCTCACTCAACATCACTCTGCATTTACTGGACAAGAGACATATCACAGGTCAGAGGACTCACCCAGTGCTGGAAAAATCCATACCCTGGGGTGAGAGTGAAGCACGACCATCACCAGCTTGTAGAAGGATCGGGGTTATTCAAGCTGAGCTCTCTCAATTTGCCCACAACAATCCCAATGTGACAATAAGCCTTACTGTAATCCAAAAAAGGTACATCCCCATTAGAAGTTTGGGTTCTGATGGCACAGCAAGCTCTTGATAACATTCAGTTGAAGAATTCCTGACCAGCTATCGCTATTGATCAGCTCACAGCTCTTCCTACAAGGCGATTTATCATTAAATGCTGAGACAAGAGGGACTTCATGCTCAAGGCCACACTGGAAATTTTGAGAGGTCAGAAACTAAGTTCAGCTCCATTAGGTCCCAGGCCAGCAGCTTACATCTTTTCAAGAACATGTTAGGAGCATCTGCATGCTCCTGCTCTCCTCAGTAATTACGTTCTTTTTCACTGACTTTTTCTTCTTCCCCTGCTTTGCAGTGTTTGTGAAGACTTTTGGTTAATGATCCTTTTTACTTTCTATACTGTACTTTTTTTTATTTCTCCCTGTTGTGCAAGAAGAGGCTCCTATCTGTATACTACAACATTATTTGTTAACGACAAGTTATCCCTCACCAATTACTTTAGTGGGATTTTACTACCCTGTCACTATTTTATTTCCCAACAATCTGCTGCAACTGTTGGCCAGAAAGAGAAACAAAATTCACTTTATAGCTCTGCCCTTTAACCCTAAGCACAGAAAAGCAGAGTTATTCCCAGCAAATACACAACCATTTGCTTCTACAGCATATTATTCTCCATCACCATTCCACTTGGAAAAGACTTGAGATGATCACTATGAGAGTACTAGCAGCTGAATTTTGAGCCTCAAAGATAACGAAAAACCATGTAAGGTTGCACTATTTGAGTAACACTTGTCAAAAGCACAAAAGAGCAAATCAATAAGTATGAAAGTCAGGACAACGATACAACATTCAGGACATAAATATTACTACTCTGGATACTGTACTTGCAGTGATCTATCACTGCACAAAGCAATACCATTATTTAACACGATGACAACGTGAGTTTTGGAAGGCCTCATCACTCATTGTTTGAATTCCTTCCTCCTGTTCCCTCTCTCCCTCTTTCAAAGATAACCAGTTTGCACATTATCACTTGAACACCAACAGCCATGTCACAGAATAGACTCCTCCAGCAGTACTTCCTATCTGTAGCTGCTCTCTTCTGCAGGCTTCAAATACACGAGGAAGTCTTAACAGCACTCATAGGCTTTTAGGTTGAGGATTCTGAAGTCTGCACTGTTGTCCTGTGTCATATGTTGAGGACACCAGTCCATCTACTGGATGTCCTGTTCTGAGGAATGATCCAACCCCTTAGACCCAGTTCCCCCTCTAGCAGTTCCAACCAACATCAGACACTTCCATCAAAGTCACTATCTGAGAGATCTATCAAGCATTACAAGAAGCATAGAGATGTGAATTTCAATTGTACCCAGT